GCAGACCTAGCCTAGCAGGCGTTCCAGTCCAATCCGACGCGCACCGCTCAGTCTCTGACGTCACGAAGGCTTCGGCTGATACCACGATGTCGAGTGCCCATAACTGTCCCCGCGTAGATGGTTAGTGCGTATAGGCCAGTAGCCAGACTCAGATCGAATACCAAGATCTCGTTAAACGTGTTAAGTATCCGCGAATGCCAACCAGGGTCAGGCCCACCTCTCTCCCAGGTGGTCTCAACCTGCCCTGTCGCTCTGCCACAAAGTATCAGTCGGGGGCCGTCGGGAACCCAGGCCCACCTCTACCGGGATGGAGCCACCTGCCCCTTCAGCACCCATCTCCGAACAGTATCATAAGTAATGTAACAATATAAAGTATATAGCATATGCCTGTGATCACCTCCCGAAGTGATCACAGCCCAGTAGTATAGCATGACAGATGGACAAGAGTGTAGGGCCACTGATGAAACACTAGCATCCTATACTAAGCATTTAGGATTGCAGGTAAAGGTAACCACTGTAGTAGCAAGGACAGGCTATGCATCAGGATAGGATAACGGAAAGCAGTAACATGCTACACTACTCTAATGCAAGCAGTATAGGGAAGAGTAGGCGATATCTGGTGATCAAGGGGGGGCTTGCCTGGTTGCTCTGGCAAGAAGGAGGGGTCATCAACATCGTAGTCGAACTGGGGTTCGCCGGCAGTCTCGAGGTCTACCGGAAAGAAGTAATGGAGGGGGAACATAATGAATAACAAAGCAGTCAAAGAATCACAAAGTGTAACATGGCATTACGCGGTGCTAGAGGTGACCTAACGTAGTAGTAGGTGATACCGGCGAAGGGGGGAAACATCCGGGAAAGTATTCCCGGTGTTTCACGTTTTTGGACAGATTAACCAGAGGGGGAAAGTTGCGTGTTTGCTATGCTAGGGATGTGTGGCGGACGAACGGGCTGCGTATTCGGATTCGTCTCATCGTTCTGAGCAACTTTCATATATAAAAGTTTTTCATCCGAGTTACGGTTTATTTATTATTAATTTTCTAAGTTTTAATCATTTTCTAGAATTTTTGAATTTACTTTAATTCAAATGAATAAACAGATAAATTGCTATGGGTACACAGGAGTGTACCCAGCAACATGTGCATGTGTATGAGATGTGGGGCCTTGTTGACTGCCCAGTCAGCAGTCAACAGTCAAAGATGAGAGGGTTGACTGGTCCAACTGACATAATGGGCCCACATGTCATTGAAAGGTGTGTTTGATCTTATCCACAGAACTAGTAAAAAGGGGCGGTCCCACCTGTCATAGGGACATTTTACTTTAACAGATTATTTTAATGGATTAGTTAGTAGATGGGGCCCGTTCGTCATAGTCTCAGGCTAATTAAACATGGTTAATTTGCTTTAACTAAATGATTAGGTTAATCTAATCCATATTAATTAAGTTAATTAATTCTTTAATTAATTAATTAATATTTTAATTATTATATTTTTAATTCTTTTTCTTTCTTTTTTTAAACGTTCTGGTGGTGGGGGCCCCATGTCAGTGGCCCAGAGGGGCCATAGCAGGTGACGAGCAGGTGGGGAGCGGGCGTAACCCACACGGGGTCGAGCCCGCCCGAGCGGTAACGGGGCAAGGCCACCGTTGCACACGCAGCCGTCGGCGAGTGGCGCGGTGGAGGCACGTCAACGGCCAGAGGGAGCGGTGGGCGCCGGTGCCAGGGAGGCGGCCAGGGACGGTTCGGCGGTGAGGGGAGCTGTGGTGGGAGGCGCGGCCGGATGGACGAGCGCGCGCAGCGGGATGCAGGGAGCGGCGTGGCGCGGCAGCAGGAGCCGAGGATGGTGAGCGCGCGGGAGCGAGGCGGCGACAGAGGCGGGGCGCGCGCGCAGGCAGGGCGAGCTGCAGGCGCGGGGGCCAGGGAGCGGCAGCAACAGCGGCTGAAGGCAGCAGCAGGACGAGGCTATGCGGGCGCGGCTGCAGCAAGGGAAGCGGCGGCAGGGCGGAGCGGGGCGCCGCTAGCGCAGGCGCAAGACGTCGACGAGCAACAGAGAGGGGGAGAAGAGGAGAGGGAGGCCATGGCCTCACCGGGGGCCGTAGGGCACGAGGCAGTGGGCGCGGGGAGGAGGTCGGTGACGGCGAGCAACGAGCGGCGCCTGCGATGGGCGCAGGGGACGACGAGGCGACGTTTTGTCGATGACGAGTTGGTGCCGACGACTCAAGCGGCGGGGCGGTCGGTGAGGTGAGGCGACGGCGGCGGAGACCGTTCCCCCGATCCAGATCGCGCGGGAAGGGGAGAAGGGGATCGTGGGGGAGAGATGAGCGAGGGGATCGGGAGGAGTGGGGGCGTTTAGGGTTTGCGGGGTGGTTGGACTCGGATATGTAGGCCGGGGGAGTGGGTGGGCCGGCCTGCTAGTGGCCACGTGGGCCAAATAGCCCAGGGAGGGTTTTTCTCCTTTTTGTTTTATTACTAGTTTTACTTTTTGTTATTTTTCTTTTCTATTTTATTTTAGTTACACATTAATTTTAGTTTAGTATATGACTAGCCCCTAAAATAATGTTTCAGAACAATCCACTACTATAAAAAGTTTTACCCCAAAGCAATTTAGTTTAGTATTTTGTTAATTACAAAAGCATTTATATATTGGTTTTTGCTACTGTTTTATTCACCTAAGGGTATTTAAACATTTTATTAAAATGGGGTTTCTTAACCATAATTACCTATACATTATTTGGCACGTCTAGAGCATTTTAGTTTTAATGTTTGGAAATTTTTATTGTTTGACTTTATTTTTAAAAATTTGAACTGGGTTTCGAACTAACGCGAGATTAGCAACAGTAATCATGATGATGTGGCATCATTACCAGAGGTTACTGTAGCTTGATTATCCGGGCGTCACACTCTTGGAGCTCCATGTCGTCACCTTCGGCCCCCGCTCCTCCCACTGGCGACGAGTGATGGTTCCAACACCGCCTAGCCCATGGTCGCAGCTTCCCAAGTCAGAGGCGTGGGTAGCCCGTCGCGTGAGGCAAAGGGTGTTGCCTGAATCTTGCTTGTTCGGCTGTGGGTCATGCAGCGTGTCGGTTGCCCTGCCCTCTAACTCGAGGAGGAGCTCCTTTGCGGCGTCATCTGCCAGTCATTGACCACAACCAAGATGGACGCCCGCCGTCGCCTTCTTCAAAATGCCAAGACATTGTGGCCTAGGCTCGAGGAGTCCGAGCAGCTCACGAAGGAGCAGGCCCACACCACTCGGCGTCTGGTCAGGCTCTCCTCCTCATCCTACTCCTCGTACGATGGCAGAACCACCATCGATGACAATGCCCCTCCGATAGCTTACGCATACGTCGAGGACAACTACCGCTGCTTTGAAGACACTAAGGGGAAGGGCCTGATGAGAAAGTGGTGTTGTGACACCTTTCTAGTCGTATTTGTTGTAGATCGTAGCTAATTTATCGAACTATCTAATCTTTTGTGAACTTGTAATGAACTTGCTATGTTTGATGCCACCATATGTGTTAAATTTAGCTACGATGCTATCATATGTGTTAAATTTAGCTACGTTGTGTTGTCTACATTGCATGGGATTGCACACATTTGGGGTTTTGGATATGAAGGGAGGGGGTGGTTGCCGATGCATATAAATGAGGATAGATAAGGTCAAAGACTTTGACGTGGCTGTTGTTTTTCTTTTTCTTTTTTTTGATGGGGCCGCTGTTAGTGGACGGATATGACCCTCTAAGACTGTGAGTTAGCTAACATTTTGTCCCTTCAAAAAAAAGCTAACATTTTGGCAAGCTCTTGCACACTTCAGAACATCTCACACACATAATTCAGAAGAAACTAGCCCCGAATTCAAAGGGAAATCAAGCTAGGGTTCTTGTTGGAAGAGTAAAGTGTCGCCAACTACTCCGCTGGCTGCTAGGGTTTACAACCGGATTACATTCGATGCCCTTCTAGGAGGGACTCCTAGCTATATAAAGGGGAAATGTTGAGTCGGCACTTCCTGAACCCATGGGCATATGCACCCACTTCTTGAAAATGCATTTTGAACACGTTTTCAAATGTTGAAAAATTCAAAAGAAAATTCCATGCATAGATGTTCGCAAATGTGTGTGCACGGCACAATGTTTCACGAAAAAGTATCTTTTCGTTTTGTCTTCATAAAAAAGACAAATTTCAATGCTTTTAAATAGCTTTTCATGACACAATTTTTGTCTTTTTTGCACAGCCCACAAAGAAAGTTATTTTTCCGTAAAACTTTATGCACACACGTAAAACATGAAGACGTATCCGTGTAACTGTTTTCAGATTTTTTTTAGCATTTAAAAATATGTTTTTCAAAGTGGGTTCATACGTACCTGGTTACATCGATGCACTTCACGGAAAATGTTACCGAATGTAAAAGCAAGAACGACAGCGACATATGCTCGGTTACAGTCAAAAAGGGCACCAGCTGCGCAGTAGAATCTCAGACGGTGGATGAAGATCAGGCCCCTTGATCAACTTAGGTAGCTGGGGTACAGATTCACGTCCTCTCCGTGGCCGCCCGATGCCGATCCAACGGTTGCCAATGTTGTCGGAAGAAAAGTTAACTGAAGAACAGGGACAGAAGAGGGCCTGGCACGTTTTTGTTACTACTACTATACTACCGGTTCGCATGTACTCGGACAAGTGCCTCGGAACAGAGACAAATAAGGAAATTACCAAAACATCGCGATCGCTGCAAATCCTGAGAGCGTCCAAGAGAAGTTGTGGCCAGCCAATGACGAGAGCTTAAATAATGGAATTTGCGCTGGTTGGTTGATATACTACGGGCAGCTTACATTACAAACGGGGAAGCCAGACAAAAAGGTCTGTACGGCACTAATCAATGTGCGAAGGAACATGGTTTCCTAGACTTCACTTGCATGAGCTACTTACTGGTTACGGTTCTACATGGTAGTAAGTCGTAATTCTCAGAGATCAGCACCACCGTGAGAAGTGATTTCATTTTCGGCTTTCAAATTCAGGCCATGCCGTTCTCATACCCTGAACCGTCTTTGGTTGTAGCGTCTTCAGCCATGTCCACCTCAGCCATCGCAGAATCAACCAGAGCCTGCGATATAGCGAGCAAGTCAATACATCATGTGCTTGTAACAACTAGGGCAATGGTGTTTCCACGGAAAATTTTGCCGTAAAGAATGGTGAATGTGTTGGGGAAATAACCTTGAGATCCTCTTCTGCGGTCTTGGCCCTGTCATTGTAGTCTTGAAGTTGAAGAAAACTTTTGTACAGCTGCACATATGCATAACATGTGTTAATATCACTTGCTTGACTTGCTTCTCTTCATTAAAGCAGCAGCTAACCAGTGAACACAAGAAACAAATACCTTTGTGACAGTCAATTGTCGCTCTGAAGAAACTTTCCGCGCAGCAGCCAATTCATCCTCTAGTTTCTGCAAAAAAAGTTAAGAATTGTTTTTAGAGCTTTTCATCACAACTTGACGCAGGCTAATTCAAATAACAACCATTCAAATAAGAACTAAGGCCGGTAACTTAAAATAAATACTCTAATATCAGGTAAAAATTTACCTGAGATTTCTTTTGCAAATCTGCAATGTGGTGATCTTTGCTTGTAACTTTATCTCTAATCTGAGAAACCTGCAAAACCAGAGTATTGACATTCCTCTTTCATAACATGAAAATGCAAGACTACTAAAGTTGAGTCATCGGTCCTCCCATACGGCATCAGTGTGACTGATATACTTCTACAATGAACAAATAATAATAAAAGGTGTAAAGGCAAACGTGAGTAAGCAACTGACATACGTGATAAGGCATTCACATTACTCTTTGCAAGGACTAGCATATTCAAAGTTCTACGTTTATGTTGGCTGTCTAATCTACTCAAGTGTTGTGTCAAATGGATTATATGAATTCACATTAGCTTACACTGACTATTGAAATGGTCTAAAGTAGCTTGACCGTCCAAATCGAGAGTAATATAGTGCAGAGCTCTTTAGGAAAATGGAGTACCTCATTTTCAAGGTCCTCGTGCATCTGAATGGCCTTGTCCAGCTGATGTTTTGCCTGATACAAACGCACAAACAGAGATGTTGGAGATTTACCAAAACAAGAAGCAGTCGACAGAAGTTGCAAGAATCACAAAAGATTCTGGACAAAGAACCATTCAAAATAACATAGAACAAGGACAAATGCATTTACATCATTCCGAAGCTCATCACTGGAACTTGATATATCTCTGCTCTCACGACCCTTTGGACGGCTGCAAGAAAAGATAGGAAAGTGAACACTACATCCTGGGAAAAGACTTCTCTGCTACTTGATGACTAGGCAAAAGCTCGCGCTAAAGATTATGGTTTTGAAGAAGTAGAAACAAAGAAATAAAGTCATATTATGAATGTTGCTCGTATGTGCCATTTCTGAATTTTGCATAGTCACTGAGAAAGTAAAAAAAAAAACATGTCAAATATTTTGCCAATGATCTATTCAGTACCACAGATTCAGATCCATTATTAAATCTTAGTGAAGTAGATAGCTTGGTTTTGATGATTAAAATACCAACATAAATACATTTGTAAAACCTCGTCAGCATAGTCAAGTCCATTACGTTGATTTGTTCAGTGGCATTCTTGGTCATTGTATTACGAAGTTACTTGAACTTGTACCTCCAATGCTATTACTTAAGTATTAAACCAATTTGCAATCTAGCATGAGCAGAAGTAAAAATCAACAATGAAAGATCAGATATGCAACAGCTGGTTGTCATATTCTACTAGTGGTTGGAGTGGCAGCATGCATTTTAGCAAATTGACGATGAATGAGGTACAGTTTCAGCGAGACAATCTATAACTTACTAATGTACATTCACATCATCCAGATAACTTAATGTACATAATAAGACGGATGCATCATAATGTATTTGAATAACTATGAAAAAGTAGTACCTGAACCTTTTCCTTGGTGGCTGTTCCTTGTCTTCTTTATCTCTTTCACTATCATAGCCTTTTGAATTTTCCTTGTCTCTGTCATTATCGGAGTCCATACGTGTCTCCACTGGACGATCATGGTCACCTCGATAAAGGTCTCTAGCACGCCTCTCATCTCCTTCATGATCTCGATCCATGGAATAGTCCATTTCATGATCAAATCCCCCACGTTCATCATATCTGTCTCTGTCATGGTCACGAGGTCTATCACTATCCCTGTCATGGTAAGGATCTCTATCCCGGTGACGATCATAACTCCTCTCCCTATCCCTTCGGTCCCAGTATACATCCCTTCCATCTCTTACAGGATCCCGTCGGAAGCCATCACGCCCAAAATCACGGGTGTTGCCTCTTGTACGCACTTCATTTACTCTCACAGCACGATTACCTATTTGCTGTCCCAAATAATAAAATTCAATACAAGAGAAAAGAAATAGTTGTTAAAGTTCCATATAGAACTATACCTTGCCATCCATCTCCAAGATAGCACGCTGAGCAGCCCTATGTTGAGTGTAAGTAACAAACCCATAACACTTGCCCCTGATTCTCTGATCATTTATCACCTGCAATGCACAAATTGATCAGGTAAGGATGGTATCTAATTGCATGTACAATCTCAATCTCCCATTGGTCATATCACAACGAACCACCTCAAGGAAAATCATAGAACTTAACTACAATCGTTCATAGCAAACAAATAAAAAAAACATAGCCAATTATGGCCTGTGACGTTGTCTAGGGCAGAATTTTGGCCTAGTAAACGACAATCCAGCAGATGAGTGCAGCAGAGATGCATATGCTATGGTGAATCTGTGATCATACAAGGAATGATCAAATCAAAATGATGATAACTAAAGAAAAGCTGATCTAACACGTCATGATATGATTTTGACATGTCCAAAGGAGGCCTCCAGAGGCTCAGGTGCATAGATCAATTTTAACTTGTGTGAACTATACAATGAGAGTCAGGACTAGGACATAAGAAGAGACTTGAAGAAATTAAGGAACAAATGTACCCAAAGATTTGGGTTTGGATAGGAGAGCATGGAAAATAGTGATCCATGGATGTGCCAGAATCATGACCTCCAAGTCAAAACCAAAAAGAAGGCCTCTTTTTCTAGTTCCTGTTCTTGTTGCATTTCGTTGCTTACACACATTTAATTATGATGGGATTTACATCAGCAAGTTCACAATTAAAATTTCCAAATTAGTTTTCTTGATTTTGGCCATGTAATTGTTACACCTCTATACAGCCATACATCTTCCACTCAAACAATAACAGTATACTTGCAACCTAGATCATAATGTCCTCAAATTCATGCCGATATATGAGACAGGCTTAATTTTTTTTCCTATTCTAGGCATTAAATCAAATATCTGAAATGGAAGAATGCAGACATCCAAAACAAATTCGATAGAACCCCCTTCTGGGATAAGAAAACCTCAAAATACGAAACTATGGCCTGAAATGTGATCCATCTTGACACCGAACAAAGCAACAAACAAGTGACACGACACTAGATCTGCTACCTCCATCTTCCCAGATCATCTTGAGAGACTTGAAGGAATTAAAGAACGGAATGTACCCAAAGATTTGGGTTTGGATAGGAGAACATGGAAAATAATGATCCATGAACATGCCAAAATCATGGCCACCAAATCAAATCCAAAAAGCAGGCCTCTTCTACTAGTTCCTATTCTTGTTGTTTTCTGTTACTTTATACACATTTATTTAAGACAAGATTTACATAAGCAAGCTCACAGTTGAGGTTTCCAAAATTTTGTTCATGATTTTGGCCCTGTAATGATTACACCTCTACAGACACACTTCTTCCACTCCGACAAGAGCAGTTTACTTGCAACCTAGATCATAATGTCCTCAAATTCATGCCTTGACATCTGAAACACACTTGCAATTTTTCTACTTCCAATCTTCTAGGCATTAAATCAAAAACCTGAAATGGAAGAATGCAGACATCCAAAAAAAATCCAAGCGAACCCCCTTCTAGGATAAGAACTAAAACGAGATACGTGGTCCATCTTGACACTGAACTAAGCAACAAACAAGTGACACGACAGTAGATCTGCTACCCCCCGTCTTCCCAGATCATCTTTAGTGAGGCAAGTCTTTATCCAGCAGTGCAACTCTTCCAGAATTGAGTTTACCCGGTCGCTCCATGGACTGCCAATTGCACGTAATAATCCAAGAAACATAGAAAAGCCTCTTTCGTTGACCTAAACCATCTCGCACGCGGAACCCGAGAGGCGCATGCTTCTGCATCAAAGCGGCAGCAAAGAAACAAAACCCTAACAACCAAGCCGCCTTTTCCCTCCGAAAGTACAAGGAAGCAACAAGGAGAAGCGGGGGTACGGAAGCAAAACGGAGGTGGGGATGGGAGACCTTGACGGAGACGATGGTGCCGCAGGGCCCAAAGTAGCTGCGGAGCATATCCTCGTCGGCGTCGTAGGGCAGGCCGCCTACGTAGACGGACGTTTCCTCGTTGACGGCCATCTCGCCGCCGGCGACGAGGACTAGGGTTTTGGGCTTTCTTCCCCTGTCTCTGTCGCGCGCGTCGAGACGAGGAGAGGCGAGGAGAGAAGGTGTCGGATCTGACGGAGTAGTTCGCGACCCAGATGCCAGAAGCGCTGGGAAATCTCCGCCGTCAGTTTGGATCGTGGGACGATGCGGTTCGAAACTGCCCATGCTCTCTCTTGGTTTATGGCCCAGCAAACACCTGACCCTGTTAAAGCTCGGCCCAGGTTGGCCTCTGAGTGACTGAAATGGGTGGCTCTGGCTCGTATTAGGCCCAGTTCTTTCGGCCGATTCTCTCATAATAATCTTGACAATCACACCTTCCTCAAGCTTCTTCCAGAATCTTAAACTCCTATATTTTTTACAATCCTAACTAATAGTTAGGATGAACTCACACACACACACACACACACACACACATATATATATATATATATATATATATATATATATTACAGTCCTAACAAGTTAGGATGAATTCATATATTTTTGAAAACAGCTAGGATTGTAAAAAAATATAGGTTCAAGATTCTGGGAGAATCTGGGTGGAAGTTCGATTCTCATGATTCTGGGACAATCGGCCAAAAGAACTAGGCCTAGGTCTTGTACGATGCAAAACGCTTAGGGAAGATGCTTAAAGAAATAAATCAATCTTTTTTAAGCATCGGTGCTTATTTGTAAGAATAGGTGCTTAATTAGGCATATTGTTGCTTGTGAGCTGCGTTGGAATTTCTCCGAAGAGGAGAGGAGATGCATTACAGTAGAGATAAGTATTTCCCTCACTTAAGAACTAAGTTATCGATCCAGTAAAAGAATCACACAAAGCCTCGTGGACAACATCTGCACACATAAAAGCAAATACTTGCACCCAACGCAAACAAGAGGGTTGTGAATCCCCTTGGCAGTTACTTGTAAAGATTAAATCTTATAGTGATAGATAAATAAATTGTAAAGATAAAAGAAAATAAAAAAATAAAAATTGCAGCAGGTTTTTTTGTGTTTTTATAAAAGTAGACCCAGAGGCCATAGTTTTCACTAGAGGCTTCTCTACCGAACACATAGCATACGGTGGGTGAACAAATTATTGTTGGTTAATTAATAGAAAAGCGCATAGTTATGACGGTATTCAAGGCAATGATCATGTATATATGCATCACGTCCGAGACAAGCAGACTGACTCCTGCCTGCATCTACTACTATTACTCCACCCATCGACCATTATCCAGCATACATCTAGGGTATTAAGTATAAAACAGAGTAACGCCTTAAGCAAGATGACATATATGATAAAATGATGGGGTTTATTCATTTTACCCTTAATGGCAACAATACAAATATGTGTATTGTCTCTTCAATCCCTGCGATAGATCACCGCAAGATTGAACCCATTACAAAGAATCTCTCCCACTTAAAATAAATCAATCTAGTTGGCCAAAACAAACAGATATATCGGAGAGAAAATACAAAGCTATAACAATCATGCATAATAAAGTTCAAAAACACTCCATTAATATTCATAAATATTCAGATCATAAACCCATAATTTATCTGATCCCAACAAACACAATGCAAAAGAAGATTAAATCAGATAGAACTCCAAGAACACCGAGAAGAACAGTGTGTGTGTGTGTAGAGAGAGAGAGGAAGCCATCTAGTTGCTAGCTATGGACCCGTAGGTCTATGATGAACTACTCATACATCATCGGAGAGCAGCAAGGATGATGTAGAAGCCCTCCATGATCGATTCCCCCTTCGGCAGAGTACAAAAGGCCTTCAGATGGGATCGTGGAAGAACAAAAACTTGCGGCGGCAGAAAAAAGTGTTTTGGGTGGCTCTCTATTGGTTTCCCGATTTTAGAGAATTTATGGAGGTGAGACGGAGCCACGAGGGGTGAAACATCGAGGATGTTGCCTAGAGGGGGGTGAATAGGCGATTTAAAATAATTACGGTTTAGGCTTGAACAAATGCGGAATAAACCTAGCGGTTAATTTGTAAAGCACAAAACCTACAACAATTAGGCTCACCTATGTGCACCAACAACTTATGCTAAGCAAGATAAATAGCTATATGATAGTAAGATATATAACATGAAACACTATGCCTATCACAAAGTAAAGTGCATAAGTAAAGGGTTCGGGTAAGAGATAACTGAGGCACGCGGAGACGAGATGTATCCCTAAGTTCACACCCTTCGGATGCTAATCTCCGTTTGAAGCGGTGTGGAGGCACAATGCTCCCCAAGAAGCCGCTAAGGCCACTGTAATCTCCTCACGCCCTCGCACAATGCAAGATGTCGTGATTCCACTAAGGGATCCTTGAGGGCGGTCACCGAACCCATACAAACGGCAATCCTTGGGGGCACTCACCGAACCCGTACAGTTTGGCAACCCTTGGGGATGGTCACCGGTACCCGTCAAATTGCTCGGGGTGATCTCCACAACCTAATTGGAAACCCCGATGCTTGTCCGAAACTTTACACCACAATGATTTAGCTCTGAAGCACCACCAACTGTCTAGGGCGCCCAAGCACCCAAGAGGAACAAGCTCAAGGGAACCAAGCACCCAAGAGTAATAAACTTCTCAACTTGTAACTTCCACGTATCACCGTGGAGAACTCAAACTGATGCACCAAATGCAATGGCAAGGGCACACGGAGTGCCCAAGTCCTTCTCTCCCAAATCCCACCAAAGCAACTAATGCTAGGGAGGAAAACGAAAGGAAGAACGAAGAAGAGAACACGAAGAACTCCAAGATCTAGATCCAAAGGGTTCCCCTCACATAGAAGAGAAAGTGATTGGTGGAAACGTAGATCTAGGTCTCCTCTCCCTTTTTACCCAAAAACTAGCAAGAATCCATGGAGGGATTGAGAGATAGCAAGCTCGAAGAAGGTCAACAATGGGGGAAGAACACGGGCTCACGGGATGGGATTCAATGGGGAAGAATACCCCCTTTTATAGGTGGAATACCCCCTTTTATAGGTGGGGAAAAATCCAACTGTTGTGTGCTCAGCCCGCACATGAACGGTACTACCGCTCCAACGAGCGGGTAGTAACGGGAAAAAGGAGCAACGGCTAAGAACCTTGGGGCGGTAGTGCCGCTTGTAAGCGGTACTACCGCTCATCCCAGTGGTACTACCGCGGGAGAAGCAGAACACGGGAGCAGAGGAGCCAGGGCAGAGCAGAGCACGACGGCGGTACTACTGAAGCGGTACTACCGCCCGACGGACGGTACTACCGCTTATATGCGGTACTATTGCGCCTCACTGCCGCCCTACTACAGCTGAAACCGACACGAAAAACAGAACCCCGGAAAAAGCAGCGGTGGAAACCGTGGAACTGGACAACTGAAGTACCGCTTACAAGCAGTACTACCGCCCGACAGGGATGGTACCACCGCTTACAAACGGTACTACCGCTGCCCAGAGCGGTACTACCGTAGGGGTGCATCAAGCAAGCCCCAAGCAACACAGATGCAATAAGAAAACCAGAACTGCCATAACTTCTGCATATGAGCTCCAAATTCAGCAAACTCAAGCTTGTTGGATAGATGACGATGAGTAGCATCCAACAGCGAACCGGCATAAGATATAGAGGAGTGAAACCTCCAAAAGAGAAGAACCGGCATAACCTCCAACATCGAAAACATCATAGAAGATGCATGTGAACTCCGTTTTTGATGAACTCGAGCTTGTCATGAAGATGACCATAAGCTCTAAAACTCACAAAGAGAAACACCAAACAAGAACCAAGAAAGATGATGTAAGGATGCAATGGTTTGAGCTCTTTACGAATGATACGATCAAGCTACTCATCGAGATCCCCCTTGATAGTATGGCAATAGATCCTATAACCCGGTCTGCCAACTACCACCATGAGACCGGTAAAATAGAAAACCTATCAAGGGCAAACCTTTGCCTTGCGCATAATCCACTTGAGCTAGATGATGACGATCTTGTCCTCCTCGAGATGGACCACCTTTCTTGATTTAGTTGGGTCAATGAAGACTAGTTGATTGCTCCCCCATAATCAACTATGGGTGAGCCTCTCTTCCGCACATCTTCACAAGTCCATTGTCACCACAATGAACAGCAAGCTTCAAGCACTTGATCTCTTCGTGATGCTCCACTTGAACTTGCACACTGCAATCTTGATGACGATCACCACTTGATGTCATCCTCTTCATGGGTTGTATGATATCTTCCTCTTGACACAAGCCCATGGAAACACACTTAACCCCACACAGAACTCTCACATAGACCATGGGTTAGTACACAAAGCGTAGTGGACAATGCTTACCATACCATGGGATCACTTGATCCCTCTCGGTACATCTTCTACGCTTTGTGAGTGAAGGAAATATGCCCTAGAGGCAATAATAAAGTTGTTATTTATATTTCCTTATATCATGACAAATATTTATTATTCATGCTAGAATTGTATTAACCGGAAACTTAATACATGTGTGGATACATAGACAAAACACGGTGTCCCTAGTAAGCATCTACTAGACTAGCTCGTTAATCAAAGATGGTTAAGTTTCCTAACCATGGACATGTGTTGTCATTTGATGAACGTGATCACATCATTAGGACAATGATGTGATGAACAAGACACATCCGTTAGCATAGCATAATGATCGTTAAGTTTTATTGCTATTGCTTTCTTCATGCCATATACATATTCCTTTGACTATGAGATTATGCAACTCCCGGATACCGGAGGAATACCTTGTGTGCTATCAAACGTCACAACGTAACTGGGTGATTATAAAGATTCTTTACAAGTATCTCTGAAGGTGTTTTTTGGGTTGGCATAGATCGAGATTAGGATTTGTCACTCTGTGTATCAGGAAGGTATCTCTGGGCCATCTCGGTAATACACATCATAATAAGCCTTGCAAGCAATGTGATTAATGAGTTAGTTGCCGGATGATGTATTACGGAACGAGTAAAGAGACTTGCCGGTAATGAGATTGAACTAGGTATGAAGATACCCACGATCGAATCTCGGGCAAGTAACATACCGATGACAAAGGGAATAATGTATGTTGTCATTACGGTACGACTAATACGTCTCCAACGTATCTATAATTTTTTATTGTTCCATGCTATTATATTATCTGTTTTGGATGTTTAATGGGCTTTAATATGATCTTTTATATTATTTTTGGGA